TGTGTGTTTGAAGAATTTGCAGTGGAAATAAGGAAACATTTACATTTAAATCAATGTATCAGCTAAAAGTAATCTTTTGTGTGTACAGAAAGCAACATTTTAGAGCATTTACTGATATAATTCATTGGATTATGGCTTTTTTACCCTATATGTTTGACATATAATGTGTTCCCTTTGTCATCACAGTAAAAAATGAAAATAAATAAAAACTATATAATCCTGAGCGACACAAAAATGGCAAATAAAATTATCAATCTCACAAATCTCAGAATCACAGGATTTAACTCTTATGCTTTAACAAAGGGGCAAAGTAAATGCAAAGTAAGCAAATACTGTATATTATTTAGCATTAACTTAAGCCACATTGAAATAGAGGATGATTTACCTCCGATTTCTTTATCTCCAATTTACAGCTATGTGTTAATATTCATGTGCAGTTCAATCTCAGCCACCTGGTGCACCTGGCACTTTATTCGGAAGTACAGTATCTTGAAATACCATCCAGTACGTACGAGGCACAAAAAAGCTCAGACACAATTATTAAGGTTTTACACTCACTGCAGATGAAACAGAAATCAAAATGACAAATTCATGACACTTCACAACTTTTGATGAATCTCAGCAGCCAGTGCGGATAAGTGATAAATAAAACTTATATGACAACATTTTCATCCATCAGATAAAATAACTGAGAGACACATAACGGACTTTTATAGTAGAATCAAACCACGGGACAGCAGTGGCTTTTCCTGCCATACTAAAACTATACAGGAGAAAACGTGCAACAGTTGAGCAGAGTCAATCAGAACCAACACCGTTAAACAGCTGACTTGTAAGTGTGTCAGACAAGCATTAAATATTCAAACCAGCCTCAGACAAAAGGTGATTTTTAATATTTAATCACAGGTGAAATCACTTCTCTGTGGAAACTTGCTCGACAAATAGCACCAGCGTCACTGATCCAACCAGCCGCAAGCCATAATCCTTTATATGTGTATTAAAACATTTTCCGTATTCATACTGTAGTTCAATGAATAATGCATTACAAAGACTTAATTCCTTTTCATGCAGCCCTTCAGGTAACATCCTTGATAAAAAGAGAAAGCCTTTTTCTTTCTCCTTTTCAGCTGAATCATGAGGCAAAGAGAAAGCTAGTCAATAACTCCCCCTCAGCTTTGTGGGATTCTTATTCCAATAATCCAAGAGAAAAGTCATCTTTAGGAGAGTGGCTCTTTGTATGAAGAAGCTCTTTTCTTAAAAGAACCACTGTGAAATGGCACACAATCATGTAAAATCTTTGCCTTTCTGTGACAACGACGCATGACTTTGAAACGTCCTTACTTAGCCAGTAGTGTTGTTCAAATGACAAAGAAAGAGCTGCAAAAAATTGTCAAAACCCCTTTTAACATAATTAAATTGGCATATTGCATATTGATGGGAAAGCCGCCAATCCTTCTAACTTTTTTTATTTAAGAAATATAATGTAAAAGTTTCTTACAAAAGGCATTTAAATGTGATTTGTTGCCAGTTTTACTCTAATGCAGACAATGTCAGTTGTTTTAATATATGGACAAAAACGCTAACGACATGCTCAGATGAATGCTTTTCGCAACAGATCTGTAGCTCTAGGTTAGCCGTCGCTCAGTGAAGATTTGCTAATGAGTCAACCCGCTGACTCCCATTCTCCGAGCCAGCTTCTCTGATCAAACAGTCGCTCTGCAGTGGGCTTGCCATCATGAGATGAAGAAAGTGAGGAGCCCGGATTAATCTGTAGCAATGGTTCACTTTGCTGATAAAACTGCAAACAAGAAAGGAGGCATGACCTAGAACGAACTCTGCCAGAGCTAAGCATTAGGGTCGGCTGAAAACCATCAAATTAAAATACGCTGAAGGAAATTGAAGTTAGTTCTGAGCGAATGTGGCCAGTGATGCCCTACAGCGGCTTTAAACAGACTCATTTGTCTGCTTTGTGGGATTTAATATCTGACTTTGGTAAAAACAAAAAGGCCTGGACTTAAATAACCGTCCACATTTTCCATTCTTAAAAAATACAGTCCTTTTTCTTTTGAAAAAAAAGCTTCATTAACGCGTGCGAAAAAGCTCCAGGGAGTCTTTTTATTCCAAACTGAAAAAATCTAATCTCCTTCGATGATTTTAAGGCTCGGAGACAATGAAAAAGGCATGAAAGCTGTCAGGAAAACAATTTCACACATATGATTAATCATCATCCATCAGAACGCCATGAAGACGATGAAGACATCAGGGAAATGTGGAAACTGGATGAATCGAGAAGCATTGTGAGATAAAACAGCAATTTATTTTTGAAAGATTCAATCCGATTTCACTCTCCAATGTCTTTTTTTTTATTGTAATTGAATGTATAAACATAAATATATATATCATTTGCAACTCTCCCCTTAGGACAAAATAAATCACAGAAAGAAGATTAAAGACTGACGACATGACCTTAATGGCATCTGTACCATCTATGGCTTGAAATAAACACTACAAGCTGGATCCAGATATTTTGGAAACGGCTTTCCTCATAATTCTGTGCTATCTTTACGGTCCTCCATTCACCAGGTATTCACCCTGCACGTTGTTGCAGAAATGTTTGCACTGCAGATGAAAAGGAACTTGGTCCAGAGATGCTCGGCCGCAGGCGACAGATAACTTCCTGTTTCTTAAAAGATGAGACAAATCACATTCAAATCAAATTTTTATCAAATGCCTGAAACCAGCTTCTGAACCTCTGAACACTTTAGACTTTCTTATTATTGACTTCACAGCTGAATTCCATGTTATTTGTATAACAGTGGGATACATTTGACTTACTTTGATTTACTTTATTCAGAGCAGCAGGTAAGGAAAAAACAGAAAGTAAAGAAGGGAAACTTAATAAATATGACCATAAGCCTGTTGCAACATCAGCTTATCACTACTCTTAGGTTTTAGAGATATCACTGACTTTTATAAGCCAAAGCTACATTGCCTCCTAGCTAGCTACTATCTTATGTTGCTCATTCTATTTTTTCACATTTATGAAAATATCAGGCATCTTCCGGATGTTTTCTGTCAAAATTCAAAGGTGAGGGAAAATATACTGGAACATTTAAAACATGGTGTCATTTTAACAAAGATTGAACAACAACGAGCAGTCAAGTGCTTAAAACGTTTGCCTTAGCATCATCGTGGTACTTAAAAGTCGATTTTTGTTTTGAACAGCTTAGATACAACCAACTTAGCTATAAGAACTACAAATGTCAATGGTGAGCCATTATCTGTAGTCTAGTGAAAACTCAATTAAATATTAAAGGGACATTCACCACCTTTTGTGGTAAAGTCCCATCAGTGTTGATGATAGGCGAATAAAGCAATAAATTACACTCAGGCAAAACGCTGTGGGCCGAAAGAGAAACATTGTCAATTGCATTTACTATGTAAACATTTCTAGTTTATTTTGATCCAATGACTACCGCAGTCAATTTGAACAACGCCTTTTATTTCGGCATCTTTGAAAACTACTCCATGAATGGCAGTTTCAGACTGAAGAATGCAGGAAAATGTAAATATTCAGGATGGATGTTAGGAAGGAAGTACAGAGCACTCAGCGACAACACACAGGGCTGCATCACAGAAAGTGATCCGGGCAATATTATTATTTAATCAGCCATATAATCCACTGGGTCATGCCTCATCAGTGTCATCATTGGATCAAATGTAGGTTACTTTTATTACAACATTTATGCATTACGCAATCCAATATTAAAGTATACTTCTGCTTTCTCAATAGTTTGTCTCCGATTGAACATATTGGTTTTGATCTGAAGATTCATTAATTGATCATATTTTTGTTGCCCATTTCTGTATTTATCCCATTGTTGCAGCTCATGTTTTTCCTTCATTGCTTCTCTTTACTTTTGGTTTCTCTGAGAATCATTCATCACTTTCTGTGGAGCAGAAAAGCAAAACAAAAGCTCACTCATAGTAGCACAGATTTACACACACAGCACACTTGGGGGAATGCAAAGACCTCGAACCCAACACAACAATAACAACAAAAAACGGAAAAAAGCAGGTTTGTGTAAAACATCTGACCTCAGCAGGTAGTACAGGAAGGAGAAGGCATAAAAACAAAACCAGCTTGTTCTCCACAGGCAAACATTGTATGCATTGCTGTACATGCTAACTCAATGAGTCCTATATATCTTTTGCCATTTTAGTATAAAAACACATACTGATGTACATTATAAAAAGGCTTTCCTTTTTGCAAAAGATCAGTGTTTCTCTTTCGTCGGCATGTATCATCTGAAATATTTCTGAGAGTCCTTTAATACATAGCGACAGAGAAGCTGAGAGACAGCGAGAGGGTCGGTACACCTGACTCTTAAAAAGGATGTAACGCTTTAAACATCACAAGATATAAATAAATGTCATGACTACTATGGGTATGTTCAGGAGTGTTCACAAGACACAAGATGTAGTTTCTGTTGTAACCCAGATTGTTACGTCTTGTCACGTAGTCAAGTGTTTCCATCAGAAAAGGTCAAAATCTGGTGCCTTATAAAGTAAAACATGTATTAATGCCACGTTTTTTCGAATTATAATGCTAATGATGATGCTTCTGTGTCGTTGGCTGTTACCTTTGGCAACACATCTGTTTCTTATGCCTTCAGTATGAACAGTAAAACCTTTAAGATATTTTTATTAAAAATATTTAAGTATTGGCCGTTGCAAATTCACCTATATTGCCTAAACAGAATCACTACGCAACCACATTTTTTACATCTACTTCCAGAGTTTTTAAATGTGATGCTTTTTAGAACACTTGCTTGTGGGAAGTACACTGTAGTTATAGTGTTAATTATGATTATATTGGGGTTAGAATAGAGCTCGGGTGCTGTAATACAGTGCTGTGGTATCAAATAAACAAATAAGTCAAATAATGAAAATGCTGTTGACATCTTAGGACACCAGATGGGAAGAAATGAACACATAGCCTTGTTTGAGAAACTTTTAAGATAACATTTTACATGAACAGAAACACATACATGTTTTCACACAGAATATTTGATCAAAAAAACCAAAGCAAAAATATCCAAAACTGGGGAGGTTTAGTGGTAAATAGAAAAGATAATCCTCTCATCCTTTTGCAAAGTCAGGTGCTGACAGCAGGGGGGCTACAGTCAGATATGGCTGAAGGTCTTTGCACTCACACAGAGGGAGAGGTTTGTGATTGGGATGAAGCTGAACTGAAATCAGAGATTATGTTACTCGTTGATGCCAAAGAAAGTCTGTGTGATGTGCTTCTTCTTGCCACAAGTGCATTGACATAAGGCACAGGCACAGTTCCCCTCTTTCAACAGAGTGGCTCGCATTAGTTTGTTTTTGTTCTTCTAAAAAATATCCCAGTGCAAGAAACCAGTAGGGTGACCACCGCCGCTGAGCTCCCGTCAGCTTACATTGGAAATGTTTTGTGTGAAAAGAAAGCGTTATAACAGGTTGTGACATTGTTAAGGAGACCGATAATTTACGCAGCAAAGCAAAACACTATGTGAAAATCAAACAGCTTTTTACTCAGTTAAAAATAGAATGACTACATCAAATAAAATAGAGAAAACACACACAACAGACCAGTAGTTTATAGGTTAAGGTTTTCAAGGCAGAACTCTTTCCATGTTCACATCCTGCAAATGTGCCAAACCAGAACAAATTATTTAACATGAGTGACATCATCCCAAAGCAAAGTCCATAGTGAAAGCGGGTTGGTAAACTGAAAACCTTATTTGTCTGTGTTCTGGCTGAGCTGAAGTATCCATTAAACTCATAAGCCATGCAGTCCTTTTGTCAATTACACCAGTGGTTCTCAACCTTTTTGTGTCGTGACCATCCCCAGAATAATCTCTTTAGTGTTTGTTTACCTTGAACAGCATTTACCTAGGCGTTGCTAAATGTACTCTAGGCACTAAAAATCGGACTTTCTCTCCCCCTGACACAGAAATCCCCTACTCACGAACACACACCATACACTTTTCGTTTTCTAAGGCAAATGATAACACTGTTACAGGCAATGATATGTAAACAAAAAACCTTCCCTCGTCTAAAATAGGTTATTTTATTATTAATGTTTTTTTTTCCGTCTCTGCACAGCCATCTGGCAACCCTCAGAAATAATCTTGTGGACCCCCTGGGTTGAGAACCACTGCATTAGTCCATCCTATATTCTGACCCAATTTGTATAAGGAATGGCCTTAATTAAGTGCTTCCAGCATGCCTATGGGCTTTACAAATGCTTTATGAACAACAGCAAAAGTATTAACCCTTCACTTATCTTCGCTGCGGAGAAGAAAAAAGAGAAATTAGGAAAAATGAGAAGAAAAACGGAGGGGAGGGGGAGTGGCCTGTTGCTATGGGTTATCACCCTAGTGATTCTCGTTCTGAAACACTCTTGAGAGAGAAAAGGAACAGATCGGTGTCTCTTTTAGTACATCTCTGGAGATTCTCCTCTCAGTTACCAGGAGGCTCCTATGAGCAAAGAGAGTGAGTGTGTGCATACACCATGTTAAATGTGTATAATGTGTAAGTGTGTGCATCCTCATGTTTGTATGCTATAAATAAATAGCAGAGTCAGGTATAGGTTGAGACCGATATATTACCAATACTGTCCTTTTGTTGCAGTCAGTGCCCTTTCTATGCAACTAGTTTGAAATGTCTTTCTGATCTCAGTGTTAAAACCTTTTTAAAACCTGCAATAAAACACGTTTTTCCATTTATTCATGTAATTCAGTTTAAAAGCCATGTAACTCGTGCTGTACTTTATGTATAAAGAGCTTAGAGAGATGTATGTGACACTCAGTGGAGAGTTGTATTGTCCGTGATGCTGTAAATGCTGATTTCAAAGGCTTTTCCTTTCAGAAACGTATAAAATTAGGGGAGAAAATATCTTTTAGTGTTGAAATATTGGCACAAAAGATCAGCTGTCCGCAGCTTCAATCCAAGATTTTCGGTATTGGCCTGTTGAAACATATTGGTTGAGCCTAAATATCAGTGTGATTGTTTGCGATTGTTTGTGAAGTGTTTACATCAGTGTGTCTGTATAGTTACAGTATCTGTTATTGTTTATATTTCCATCAGCTCTGGCAGTCTTTGTATGTTGTGTCTGTGATTGCTGTTTATCAGTCCTGGAGGCGGGCAATATGTGAACATCTATCCGTCTTTGCCCGTCTGTCTTTCAGGATATCTGTGTATTTATTTATATATGTATATATCAGTCCTAGAGGCAGACATTGTTGCTGATCTGGCAGGTGGATCCGGTGCCCGCCTGGGACAGGAAAAGCCTCCCGTTCGGGCAAACGCAAACCTCGTAGACAGTCTGCCTGTTCCCAGAGGACGAGGAGCTGGTGGAGGCCTTCCCCTCAGGCAACCGCATCAGGCGAATCCTCCGAGCATCCAGCGAGATCTAAGGAGAGAGAGAGAAAAGCGGTGAGATGGGAAGAAGGGAGGAGACATAATGAGCGTATGTCAAGTGGGAGGTGAAGTCAAAGAGGTTGACCATGTAGAAATCCAGTTTGAAGTTGTTAAAGAAACAGAAAAAAGTTTTTTGAGATCATTTTTTTTGCTACACGTATTCAGACCCACTGCGAAGGAAATATATGCAACTTTGCGCTGGGCTGCAAAGAATTCAATATTTATAATGATTTGATGATTTTTTTTACCTTAGGGTGCTACACATATAAACCTGATGAGCAGGACCGACGTGCAACAGTGCTATCTCCTATCATGCTATTTCTAGGCATATATTATGGGTCTCAGATATATACAAATATATAAAAAACATCTCTATGATCTGTTTTGCTAAAAATACCAAACAGATCATGCATTTTAGACATCCCTCATATCCCTCTATTTCAGCCCTGTTAGAGCAGTGCTGATTCTGGGTCAGTAGCTGCTGGCCCCGCCCCCTTTTGAGCAGGGCAAGGCAAGCAGTGAGGTCTCCTCTCTGCCTGCAAATACTCAGCTAAATGCTGCCATGATTAAATGCCATATCATGTTCCAAACCACTTCAAGGATCATTTCTGAAACAGTATGGAGCGGGTTTACTACAAGGTGAGTTCCTTTTTTTATTTCCTGCTTTTTTACACATTCTCTCTCCAGTACAGCATTAGCTCTGAGTGTTAGCGATGCTTGCTAATCTAAACAAAGACCATATTACTTCGAAAACACGTAGCACATTGTTTCTGATAGCGACGTTTCTGATAGGGACGTGGGTGTAAAGCCAGCCCACATTTCCGATATTACGTAGCTCCGTTGTACCCCCGTTTTTAGAGATGTGGGTAAGGAGGAAAAGAGAGAGGGTTTTATTTTCTGACACTTTTTGAGTTCCCTGACTCACCGGGGACACATATATATATGTATAAACGACATCAAAAAGTGCGTTTAGCATGATAGGACACTTAATCTCAAAGATAAGAGATGCTATGCCAGATTATAGCTGTAAACTGATTTCCATCTGCAGTCCTTGGGCAGGTATACACATAACAATCAATACACATTAAAACATCTGACTATCTTTAACATAGCACAACATCCGCTTATTCGGATAAATATGGATCTTTTTTTTCTGCATCTTTGCTCATAAAACATGGGTTTAGATTGTAGTGCCGATTGTAAGTACAACCCATTTAGGCCCATGCTACCTATGTTAGTTCTGTTTGAAAGCATTCACACCTTGCAGAAACCACAATTCATTGTATGAGGTTGAAGTCTGGACTTATAGTGACTTTGGACATGTAACCCACAAAGGACAAGTCCAAGTTAAGTAGTTGGCTTATAGTGAATTAAGGTGTTTGGACAGAGGCCAACTGGACACGACTGACTCTTCTGTCGATGGTCAGGATGTGTGACTTTTGGCAGAAAACCAGCTACAGTTTCTCCTCACCTTGATAAACTGCATCTGCCTGTCCTGTCTCTACCTATATCACAACTTAATATACAGTACGTTCAACCTCCCTAAGATCCTACTCTTCATTCAGACCAGAAGAGGAACCCATTTTCTTTCTTTATAGGCTAAAATAATCGTCTTTTCCCCTTTAATCTTTACCTAAGCTAGCCCCCGCTGAAGCATGTGTCTCTTCTCGTCTCTTCACTCTAATTGCTCTCAAAGCAAATCTCTTCACCCGCTCTCCGTAGCTAAGCTTTTGTTTTTCTTTGCAGAACTTCTAACTCACAGGATTGTACTCACACAAATAGTGTCTTTGGCATATAAAACCCTAGCACTCCACTTTGTTGGTTTCCTAGAATGTTAAGTCTAGAGATTGAACTCAATTCGCAACTATGCAATTTCCCTGACAACGGATCTTGTGTATAAGAGAACTTTCCCTTCGTTCTTCCAGCGTTTTCCAGCTCTTTCTAATATTCAGTGCACACCGACAGTGTATGAGTGAAGAGAATGATAAAGGTCATTTGCTGGATTTTGAGTGTGAGCTCTGATATATGGCAGAGTGATATCCATGAGAAAAGCCACCCAGAATGCATCTGCCTGGTATTGTAGCCTACAGGACAAGAGAGCTTGTCACCTAAAGGTTATCAGATTGAATCTCTGAAGCATGAGACAACACATAGGTGAATGGTAAAAGTAATTCTCTCAAAACCGGGAATAGCCAGAAGATATTGCGAAAAACACTCCGAGATCCATGCTTACAGACAAAAAAAACAGCTGTGCCTAGTCAGATATCTATCAGCAAATTACAACCGACATTTTATATTTTTAAACGATTTAATGCCAGAGACACAATAATGAAGATAACAAAATGGATGGCAAAACAAAAACAAAAATGTGTTTAATGTCTGCTGAGTCCCAGGTCATTCCTTTTTTCTCTAGAGGAATAAAAAAAGAGCAATATACTAGAAAATTCCTTACTACAACGCCACAAACACATACTCGCACACAGCTTCTCATCCACTCATTTTACCCTCTTCAACCCCTCATTGATTGAACAAAACTGCCCTTCTCCCTCTGCGCAGAAACAAAGCACTGCTGCATGAATCCTATCTCTCTCCCCTCTCATCCTTCCTCCCTACCAGCCTCCTGGGGCTCATACAGGGCTGCTGTCTCACTGGCCGAGGAGGGAATGAGCTCTCCAGCCATATAAAAGGTAAAGGAGCCATTACCGGGCACTTCTGGGAGGCATCACCATCAAATGACCTGGAACCCTTTTAAAGCAGAGTCTCAGCTGACTTCCTCAGACAGCTGCTGTTGAGCAAATCTTACACCACGAGGGGCAAACAGGGTAGACCTCCGTGTGTGTGTGTGTGTGTGTGTGTGTGTGTGTGTGTGTGTGTGTGTGTGTGTGTGTGTGTGTGTGTGTGTGTGTGTTTGAGGCTTGTGCTCATGGTTGTACACTAGCATAACAAAGAACATGAAGTATATACATAGAGTGAAAGGTAGGAATCATTTTCAGATTTTTTACTGAAGAATACCCAGGTAGTACTTCGAACCGACTTTCGATACATTTGAATGAACTTTTTTCAATGTTGTCTCATATTCATTTATTAGGAATTTCCTACCGGCAGCACAGTGGAGATGTAAGCCTACTCTACACTTTTATACACTAAGCAAAACCTGGTAGAGGAAGAATCAGCCATGCAACCTCAACAATTACACTCAATGTCAGTGCAAGTAAGCAGAAAAGCGGCAGCAGTTTAAAGCATCCATCATTGTCTATAAGATGCGTTCAGGCACAGCACTGAATGTGGGTCATCCCAGGGCCCAGAACCCAATGCACTACCACTGTAGTTATCATGTATAGTGCAAATACAAATTATAAGGCTGGGTATTGGTAGGTAATTTAAAGGGGACCTATCATGCAAAATGCACGTTTGTACGTCTTTTATACATGAATATGTGTCCCCGGTGTTCCAGGGAACTCACCAAGTGTCAGAAAACACAACCCTCTCTATTTTCCTCCATACCCAAATCTCTAAAAAAGGGGCTGCAACGGATCTAAATCAAATCAAATCAAATCAAGTTTTATTTATAAAGCACATTTAAAAGCGATTTTTTGGTCGAGCCAAAGTGCTGCACATGTAATAATCTGATAAAAACTGATCCAGATTTGAACACTGTCCTGACGTCAGGACAGTGGCGCTACGGCTATTGGGCCAACTCCACCAATCAGGAGGAGACAGCCACGGCCATTGCCGTTCGAAAGCGCTGGAGACGCTGTAGTACATATGCCAGGCCAGTAGATGGTGCTGTTCTCACAGAATCAGCCCTTGCAAAAACAGAGCTAAAAAATGTCAAATTGAGCAAAATGAGGCATGGCGAAATACTATACTATATTCAAATATAGCATGATAGGTCCACTTTAAGGTATTGATGATATTATCGATTACCAAGTAGAATTGAAACTTCTAACCCTAACCCTAACAAAAGAAAACGTTTAAATGGAAGGCAGCCTTGAGTTACAAGTTGGTGCTCTCGTATGTTGTTAGCTGCTAAATATTTGCTCTGCTGGGTCCCTTAAACGATGCAATTCTTTTGGATTAGCCAGGAGTTAGACAGCCAAGATGCTGTGGAACAGCCTACTTTCAGCTTCCCATCATATCTTCAGAAACCCATGGGTGATATCACAGACACTCTGGCCCTATTTTATTGAGTCTATGGATAAACCACACTGGGTGTAGTTGTGGTCTGTACTTGTGACTACACCCAGCTGTGATGTTGCATGATATTATAGTACCCCAATAAATCACTGCTGTACATGGTTCGGAAAAAGCACACTGACATCTTAAACCGGATGATCAGACTGAGTGAGGTCACCCTTAATAAGTGTTAGTTATGTGACTGTGAATAGCTTCAGATAGAGTGTGTGTGTGTGTGTGTGTGTGTGTGTGTGTGTGTGTGTGTGTGTGTGTGTGTGTGTCTATTTCTGTATCTGCCTGTGTGGTTTGTGGGTGTCTAATGACCAAAGCCACTCTGTAATTGCAGTGGTGGTGCCAAGGGGGTCCTGAGGAGAGGGTAGAGAGTGTGTGTGTGTGTGAGTATGTGTGTGTGTGTGAAAGATTTGACAAATGGACATTTTGCACGCTAATGGAGCATGAGAACGTGATTCTAATTATGTGAATTGACCATCATAAGTGAACAGCCTTACTGTGGATCACACAGCCGTGAAAACTGATGTGCTGTGGGCGTGGCTCCTGCAGTTATTTTTAATTGAACCAAACTGAATCCAAGAACACTTTCCAGAAACAGTGTCTCTCTTCCTCAATCCCATATCAGAGCCTGTCTTCATGTATTTAAATGTTGTTGTGGGAAACTTTTGAAACACTTTCTTCTCCCTAATCCTCCTTTCGGTGATTTAAACAGATCTGACATGACACAACTGCTGCAACGCAAGGAGGGAAATCCTTTTATCAGCGCAGCCGAGCGTGATGAATGTGAGGACTGATGCGTGTAACGAATCAGAGGAGGGTTGGAGGAATTTAAGAGCAGGGAGGAAAGAAATAAAGAAGTATCATGAGAATGACGAGGGAATCAGTGAAGAAATGATGTTAAAAAAGCAAAGTTAAAGACAGAAGGAGGACAGAGAAAGGAGGAGGGGTTCAGATAAGATAGGAAAATGTAAAGTGGATGTAAAAGAGAAAGTTGTTAAAGTACACATGCGAAAGAACCAAAGACAACTGAATTAGGAAATGAAGGGAGGATATGAGCATAACAAAGAGAAAAACAAATCAACTTCTGTTCTCTAATTTCCTGTTCTTCTGTGAGGCTCTAACAGATTCTGGTGGACCGCCAGCATGTGGGAAATTGCCAGAAGCCAAAGCTGGTCCTGGTCCACTATTGTTTGGATTGTTATTTGCTAAAAATAAGTTTGGACAGGCACCATTTTCAATTGAGAAGAAGCCTTATCAGCCAGTATGGCTTGAGGACAATACAAGATGATTCATACCCTTGCCAATACACAGAGTGGGAGCTTTAGTATTTGTGTATAAGGCTTTTTAGACATAAGAGGACTGCATTTAACCAACAAAAAAAGTGTTTTTATACTTTGTTTGGTCAGGTATCCCAACTCATGACAGAAAGTCTGCATGTCCAATACCAAGACACAGAAATCAAAGTAGCTCAATAGAATTGAACCATCATTACAATGATTATTTAATAACACACAACCTGTCAACATTTCTATCATGAAAAGGCCAATGGTGCTAATAAAGAAAAAGGGCAAAGAGGGAGCATGACTTCATTCTTCACTCAGGTAGACACTACTCCAATATATCTTTACACAGCCCCTTCGAGCTCGTTCCGTTCTATTAATACCACACTGTCTACCCCACTTCATGAGGATGCCAGTGATACAAATATCACAATATTAATATTCACTCATTGCACAGGACAACTGTTTGTGCACGGCTACACTAAGTATAGTCCAAGTCAAAGCTGGAAGAAGTATTTTTCTTACCTTAAATAAGTTCTGACTGCATGTGTATTCAGACCTATCAGACTAGATTTGAGTGATTTATCAGTGTTGCCAGATCTCAGCAATTCACTTTTTATAATGAGTAATGCCATCATCGCCGAAGCCATGACAATAAGACTTGAGTTGGTGAAGTTCTCGACTTTCAAACAGACAAAAAGTTAATTTGCACTTTAGGTTGACGCACCTCTCCGTCTTTGGACTCCAGTCGCAGCTCGTTCCTGCAGATGGCCTGAATGTCTCCGGCCTCAGCCAGGATCTGGATGCCTTTAGGAGCCTCCATCAGTAAGGACCGGGTGGGAGACTCCAGCCTGAGGGTGACACACAGGCACAACACATGTATTCCTGAAAACTGTTTGAATGAGTAGTAGAGGAGATTCTTAAAACAATTAAATATATGTACGTTTATTCTGTGAATATCCCTAGTTTGTTGAGTAGAATATTAGACGTTGTTCCATCTTGTTAAATTGGACAGCCTAATTGGAACCTGGTAAACTAAAGAAACAATTTTTCAAGCAGCCTGTTCATTAGATTGTTTAAGCAATTTGTCATCCTGACACTGCACAATTCATAAGAGATTATTATCACTTTCGCAAATAACAAAAACAAAACGCAGGGAATGAGATCCACCCCCCCTTTTGATTGACATCATGCCTAAGCATGATGTCAATCAAAAGGGGGGGTGGATCTCATTCCCTGTTATACTGTTGTATAAATAAGTTATTTTACTTTAAGGCAGGCAAAGTTGATTTTTATAGCTCATTCAAACAACAATGCAATTCAAAGTGCTTTACCCATAACATTAAACACATATAAAACAAAGTGAAAAAGAAGGAGATTATAAAGAACTTTTAAATACAATTAACAGAAGTCATTACAAGAACTAAGAGAAATGCTCAATAAAACAGGCTAAAATAGAACAAGACATGTGTAAAATAAAAGTATTTAATGTAACAGTGAAGAGCAAGAAATAATCCTTATTGGATAGCCTTGTTTTAAAAGTTTGTTCCAGATAAAAACTTGCCCTCTCTTTAAGTTTTGACTCTGGGGACAAAGTGCAGACCTGATCCTGAGAGTTCTTGATGGCTCATAATGTAGCGGAAAATACAACACGTATTTTGGTCCTAACTTCTTTGGCATGAAACCAGTGTAAAGACCTCAGAGCTGGAGGGATGTGACCCACTTTTCTTTGTGTCAGTGAGGGCTCCAGCAGAAGCGTTCCCAATCAGCTGCAGCTCTATAAACTACTTATTAACTTTTTTAATAAGACCCTAAAAAGACCCCGTTACAGTGGAGTCTATACTGAAGAATAAGCATGGACACGTTTTTCCAAATCTTGCTTAGACTTACGTCCTTACATTCTTGATATTTTTAAGTCTGACTTTATAAATGTCTTAATGTGATTGATGAACTTCAGGTCGTTAACAACTTGTTTTCAGAGGATTTTGGGGACTATGGAAGTAAAAGCCTTCTTTTGTTCATTGTTGTGCTCCTTCCCCTAAAACAGGGCATTACATCCTCAGTCTTAATGTCTAAAACTTGCTTTGGTTTTCAGAAAGATTCAGAAGCAAGAACCGATTTTGTGGAACACCACAGTGAATGGAGTTTAAATTGAGTTGATCTGACATCACAGCCCACCTGCATGCTGTGGCTGTTTACTATTTTCTGTACGAGGATTTAAAGTCAGCCAACTCCTTTTCCGGTGTTGACAAAACCCCTCAAAGCCACAAGCCGACCTCTATAGGAAGAAGCAAAGGTGTCAGAACGCTTCAGTAGATTCAGACCTGCAAAGGAGGTCTCTGTAGACTTCCTGTCTTCCTGTCACCACGGCAGGCATGGATAGAACCTGTGATATTTTCTCCACAGGGAAGGTTTTCATTGATAACACACACTGTATTGTGCTGGAGGATTTGGGGCTTTTGCTCTAAGCGAGGAACATCTAGGTTCTTTTTTTATGCACAGATACGGTAAATGTTATCTATCATCCCCTTGTGTTCAGGGTCTAAGTAAGTATTTCTATGTTAATGTGTCAATGTAGGATCAGCGTCGGCATAAGCTGTGGGTTTCGTTTTTTGCCCATGAGCCTTCTTTTTGGACCATGAAAACGTATTCACATATCCAAGAAGAAAATCTGGAGAACGAAATGACTGAAGAAGAACTATCTTATTTCTAATGTAATTCCCTGCAGTCGGCTGGTGTCACTCCCTGAATTTGCTCCTGTCAGCTTAAATGAACAGTGGTGACCCAAATTCCCCAGAAAACGAGGAGAGGTGAGAGGAGATGCAGCACAGTATGTTGTTGTATATTACAGAAGTTAAACGTTGAGGGAAATAAATAAACGGCAGCAAGTTTAACATCTGTTTCAGTACAGACAAACTTGAATGCACCTTATATTACCCCTTACTCTCTACCACAGAGGGTCATGCCTTAGCACATATGAATTGGTTAGCCTAAAATGGTAAAGTATTAAATGCACTTAATCGTTGCCTCACTATTGTAGCAATTTTATTATCAGTCAGATTTTATAGGATGATTTTAAACAAGCTCTGGATACAATTGTTGAAATAAGTAGTTTTTTGATTCCGCTCAACTCTAAACACATCAGACCAATCAATCACCCCATTAGCCAGTCTCTGTTTGTTTCTCTGTTTTTGCCTGCATCAACAGTGTTGACACAATCTATTTGTATTCTCACTAACCGATGCCACCAGAGGGCATATCAAAACAGATTAGAGACAGCACAATTTAAAACTGTTGCATCTGAACATTAAGTCAACATGGATTACTTTTTATGCTTTACAAAACAAGAGAGTAAACATTGATCTCACAGGGGTTGTGGTGAGAATACTGAAACGCTTTAGACCTTAAGAGCTCAACGATGCATGGAGAACTTACTGGATGGTGGAGTTTGGTGTTGGGCATCCTTAAACACCCAATAAACCAATTTGTGGAGACTGGACCAACGCCTTTTACCTCAGGACATGAATTCCTCACAGGGAATTATTGCATACATAAGAAGGTGTAGTCCATAATATGACAGAGTGCAGTGGCTCTATGTTGCAGCACCTTGTTCTTGCTCTTTACCCCTACTAAAAAGACTCTGAGGAGGGAGAAAAATATGTTTCTTTAGCATTGAAAAGAACTCAGGGGGATTTGGTGTCTATGGATGTGAAATACACCCTCTAAAGGCATTCCTGCTCCAAGTTTGCTCCTCAGGGAGTCAGGAGAGAAAACATTTATGTGCGAGGGTTACAGTCATTTTAATTTCCTTTCCACAGTGCTTGTCTATTTTTTTCTATTTCCTTCAGTATTATTTCTGCCTGGTTCTAATATTACCTTTTTTCTATTTAATGAATATCTACATTGAATAAATAGTCTGTCATTGAAAGCTTTTTAGGTGTGTGCAGCGGCTACGAATATGGCTTACAAGAAAAGTTTCTCCAGATTAAAAATAAAAACACAGCAGACTTTTTTGAAAAGGCTTGAATGTAACCAACACCCATTTATATAAATAGAACAAGTATAAGTACACATTGCAACCTGTAGCTGTAAAGAATGCATGCAATAAGGTCATCTCACCCATTAATAACAAGTCACCTTATTGTAATTCACCACTTGATTTCCATTTTTATCTTTATATCCCTGTTGTCACCTTTGGCTTTTATGGTTGCCACAACATTTCCCCCGCAGCGATCAATAAAGTTTCCTTTTCGCTCTCTTGTTTTTTTATTTAACTTTTGTACATCCTTTTATCCGTTCTCACTCTTTTCTTGGCAGCATTCAGTATCTGCAACTGGGATCAAAGGTTAATAACTTTTCAAGCTTCCGCCTCATATCGCCAGCCTTCAGATAAAAACAGAAATGATTGGAGGTTTTTGACATGACAGAAATTGTAAACTTGCACAGTCTGAAAGCTGTGGGCAGCTTTCTTAATCTCCTTCAGCTCGACACGTTGCTCATTTTGTCCTTGGCGACATCGCCTTCTTTGAATTATCTGCAACTGTTTCGTGTGCGGTGTGAACACAGTGGTCAGAACAATTTGCTGTTATAAAAAATGCAAGCTATGGTGAGTGGAAATGAGCTGCGAATCATAGGTTAAATGGCAATCTCGGCTGATACGAGAGCAGCTTATTGCTTCGCGGGGCTTTGTGAACGGTCCGATATTTTTCTGGGTAACACACCATCCTCTCTATTACTGATCCAGAGTAAGCTGAAGGTGTGGAGGATGACAAGGGTAGAGAGGAAAAAAAAAAGATATGACTGTGACATTCAAGAAGACAGAGCATGGATATGGTATCCTAATTTGCGACCTATTTTTCCTGATTCTTCTTTCTTGTTCAGAGAACGCTCGGAGGTGGTAATGGCAAACGCCACCTTAAGTAGTGATTTTGTACACAGTATTTGTATTAGTAAAATGTCAGTGTGCAACTCGACTTAAGATAGGATACTGCTGCTGACTTCTAGAACTGTGTGAGTAACATTTTGTTTTTTAGACTTCTCTGTTTCAGTGTGCTCTGTATAAATGTTCTGTAGTTGATCTGATTGAAATTGTGATTTTAATCTCAAAACCGCTAAAGTATTTTCAGGCAGAAATGTGGGACAATTATTTTTACAGAAACCTTAAAACAGAACTAACTGGTTGTTAGGGTTTACTTTGATTTAAACATTAAACACTAAGGGCTTTATTGACTAGGGGTAACTGTATTAAGGGTTAACCTCATAACTTTATTAGCTAGGGTTTAATGTAATTGTAAACTTAAAGATTCATTAAGAACTCAGGATTAATCCAGTTTCAATTTCCTATTGCTGCCCATCAGCTGCAGAGAGTTAACTAATTAAAGGGGCATGGCCCCACAGCTGTGACAACTCAGTAATCAGGACTGGTGTCCATTTTAGGCAGCACTTTCCTGGAGCGTCAGACAGACGAAGACTGACAAAGACAATTGAGTCCTGCGGGAGTCTCTAAGACTGACAAAGACAATAGAGTCCTGCGGGAGTCTCTAAGACTGACAAAGACAATAGTGGCAGGAGTCACGAGGGAGGCAAAGAGGAGGCAAATCCTACTTTGACTGAGCTAAGTATCGCTGGTGTTTTTATCCCCTCTTGCTAAAACATGTGTATATTCTCCATTCCTGTTCATGTATCCTCTCGCAATTATTACTGGCCCCGTGCATCTCCTAATCGTTATAACCGGCCTGCTCTCGTCTATCCCACATGCTCCACTGAGATCCAACATCTAGTTACAGGTGGCCTGTGGAACTGCCAGTCAGCTGTTCCTAAGGCTGACTTCATTTCTGGCTACGCTTCCCTG